TACCTTGTATAATTTACTCCTAATATTTACTCCCGCCGTCTAATCCCATATTCTCAATCCATGTGTATTTAGGAGACGTGATTAAGAAGGGGAAAAAAAAAAGGAGATTATGAGGTTTGTTGGTCAATAATGAATAAAAAAGATGACGGGGTTTATCTGGTTGGCACTGAATAACAAAAAAGAAGAATGTAGGGTATGGTTGACTAAAGATGAATACAAAATAAGATATTGGGGTTTGTTGACTAAAGGTGAATAAAAAATAAAAAAGAAGAAGATAAAGGGATGGATTAATTACAGGTGAATAAAAAAGATGATAGTAGAAAAATGAGACCACTTTATTTGCACCACATCATTTTAGCATGCAATTTAAGAAGGGTATTAAACTGTAGATAGACAAAATAGTTTAATTAACTTTAACACCGATTAGAAGAAAATGTCAAGTTGTTATGGTGATTTTTCTGAATAATTTGTTCATTTACCTTACGTAATCACTTCCTAAAACAACGTGCCAAGAAGGTGTGTCACACAAATATTAAAAAATAAAGGAAGTATTTAGGAATGGAGAGAGTAAAACACTCTTACTTGAGAAATAACATCAGTTTAAATAAAAACAACAAAATTAACAAGTACAGAGTAGCCTGCCATTCCTCAAACTAACACCAGAATATATATTTAACCCAAAACCCTTTGGCTATATAGTTTCCTTCCAGCATTCTATCTTGTCATTGTTGTCTTGCTGCATTACCAAAAGGTCCAAAAGTACATTACAAATTTACAAGCAGATAGCATGAGCCAAGGTACTTTACCATGATTTATTTTAGTAAGCTCATGTATAGCTATAAAAAGGAATACCTCAAAGTATATCCTTAATAATACCCTATATCAATATAAACCCACTCCGTGTTCTGTAAGGTAGTGTTAGTTTAGTCTTTAATTTCCTCATAAATGTATAAATCACACAATATATGCAATATAGACACCTTTATAACAATTCCCTTGCATTCGATCAGACTTTTTAATATGCAACTCTTTCTTCCTGTTTTGTGCATACTACAATGCATATATTTAAGGCATAAAATGATACACATCAAGGGAATTTTTGGCTATTGATTGTCTCAAATGGAGATCATAAGCCCAGTGTTTGACTTTCATGAAATCAAATTGACCAAAACAGAGTGTGTTCAAATCAAACAGATCGAACAAACAAACTTAGCATATATGTTTACAAGAACAAAATTTACATAATAAGCTTGTAAATTTACTGGAGAAATAAATTTATCGCGTCTCCTGTAGAGCCAACAAACCTAATATATAGTTTATACAGCCTATCTAAAAAATTCAAAAAATAAAAATAAAAAACCAAAACCTACTGCAATAATTAAGCCTACCGGAAAAGGCAACAAGCTCCACTGTATGTGCATTACCAACTTAAAACGACAAAAACAAACAAATAGTACGAAGTATAATACTAAGCTTCTACCAACAACTAAATCAAGTAACTTTTTAGAGATAGCCCCTGTAATTATCCCTATGTGCAAATAATTTATGGCAATGCCATGCCTTTACTCTCTTCTAACGGTAATACTAGTCCACTAACATCCATAATAATCCAAGCTCTAAAATACCCTTCAGGCCTTCAGCAAAAGCAATAATTAAATCAAGGGATACTAATTGCTTGCCCAAACCACATATAGCAGAAATCACCTAGTCAACATGACTCTAAGTCTCTCGCATCATCAAACCAAATTGATTCTCCATTATAATTGCCTCCCTCCTCACTCTACTCTCAAATCTCAATCGCCCCCTCCCATGATTTCAGAGCATAACCAAGAAAGGATCTTTACAAAAATAGGCCAATGTAGTTATTACACAGCTGAATGCTGCCTTATATGCTTCTATGGCCTATACATTTATGTATATTTATGAACCAAACTTTCCCACCTCTCATTGACTGATTGACATAAGCCTCACCCACAAGAAATTTCCAATTTCATTCTTTAAGCATCCTACTTCATCAAGACCTCTAAATTTACGCTGCCTAAACCTGCATATATTATTTTCTCCTTCTCTTCGATCTCTAATCCAAATGCCAATTCGCCTTATAATTGGCTTCTACCACCGCTGACTCCGCCTCTCTCTTATCCCTCGTAACATTTCACTACTGGCCATGGTTTCATCTTCCGGGATATTGTAACCAAGCCATTGCATGCTCTTTTATTTTGCCCATCTTGCCCTACCTAGTTTCGACTTTTTCCACTGTTTTCATCGCCTCTATCTTAACCATCTGAAATTATTTCCCTACTTCCTACTTTATCATAAGATGTTTTCCCCAAAACCCAAAAGCACAAAAAATTCAATAAACAAGTTCGTTAATTTTCCTTCAAATTCTGGGAAAATCATGCAAGAAAACAAAACTTAGAGTTCCAAGCTATGCCAAAACCCTAACATGGGATTTCGCTACTTCAACCACGGAAAATCAAAAACCCCAAAACGTAAAAATGACTTGATTTTAAGCAATTAGCAAATAATTTCTCATCAATTAACCTAATTTACTCATGGAAATTACCCATCTATCCCATAATCAAGAATCGTGAAAATGAATAATCAAACACATTGACAAATTGAGCAAAATAAAAGACGAAATAATAGATCAAAAAAATGTTGAAAGAATCAGTGATTTTAGAAATCAATTAGCGGAAAGAATAAGAAGATGATTGATTGAAACTAACCTTTAGAAATGCAGAAAGATCGATCCAAAGGAGGAGAGAAATGAAGATGAGAGTAAAGTGTGATTTGCAATTGAAGTGGTGTATTTGGCTTGAGCGTTGGACAAAGGTGACTAACCTAAAGCAAATAAGTGTCTGTTCTCTTCCCCTTAAAAAAAATAATACTACCTCGTTAACCATTATCTGCAACTTTTACTATTTTTGGACGCTTAACATTATGTGCAACAAATTTTTTTTTTCCTTTTATAGTAAAAAACATAGTGAAATGACCAAAATGCTCGTACTTAAAAATCTAAATCTATCTATTATGTTTACTAATCTTATTTGATTCATTAATCAGTTTTTAAGATTACCCTAACCATTCCCACCAATTTTCCCATATAATCCCATCAGCTTAACTACCAAAATTAAATCATTTCCCCAACTACTCACATCAATTGGAAGAACAATCTAGGGTTCTTCATATTCCTTTAAACATGTTCATCTTCTTCCTCATTCTCTCTCCTCTTCTCGTTTCTGGGTTCATCTCTCTATCTCTTCTTTTCTGGGTTTCGACACTCTCTCTCCTCTTTTCTGGGTTAATCTCCCAGATATATTACTTGTGCTCTCTCTCTTTGATTCTGTCAAATTGAGGGTTGATTCCTCTTTAAAATTGAGTCCCTTTAACAATGATTAACCTAGATCCACTTCACGATGCCTTCTTTGCGACTGATGTTGAAGAGGAAGGTGATATTATTCAGATGCTAATTCACTCCTTCAACACTGACTTCCCTTGGCCTCGAAGGATGTACGATGCTGGGGATAGGGGTCCATACATAAGTGATTACACTTGGAAAGCCCTTGGGGAAGTTCGATGACATTGAGGAAGGTAGGAGAGAGGAAATCAAGCGTCGAGGCAAGAGAGCGCTTGATTTCAGCAAGGAAGGAGCTTCTGGTAAGGGTGAGGGTTCTTCTGCTCCGAAGAGGCCCAGATCTGAGGGTGCTAAGGCACCTCCTACCAGAATCAGATATAGGCGTCGCGCTGCCTTGGTTGGTCGAAGCAGAATTCGTGGGGCTAAGCTGACTAGGGTGATTGACATGTCTGATGATGAAGACCCTAATCAAGGTGGTATTGGGGTTGCTGCTCCTCCTGCTGAAATGGCCCAGGATGTCGGTGGTGGTGCTGCTCCTCCTCCTCCTGCAGATCCAAATGATGGAGTCCCTGAAGCCCAGGATATTGAGGATGAGTTGGGAGTTGTGCTTTCCCCAACTGAATGACGCTTTCAGTAACGATTTCTAACCCTAAATTTGTTATTCTTTCATTTTGTTTATGAGTCCCTAATAATTTATTCATTGATGTTGGCTGTTACTGGTGTTGATTTGTATTTTGTATTTATTGGGGATGATTTGTGTTGTAGTCCTTGTTTATGAGTCCCTGATGTGTTGCTTGTGATGGTTTGCTGTTTTGCTTTGTTGATGTTGTTGTTCTAGAATAAGGGGAAATGTGATTGATGAATGATGATACATGTGGGATGTGCATTGATCTATGATCTATGGCTGTCTTTTTAAGTCCCTCATTTGATGTTATGGGTTGTTGGTTTCTGGAGCTTGTTGTTTGGAACCCTATGTTGTTGTTGTTGTTTTGGAATGACTAGAAATGTGATTGATGAATGAGGATGTTGGTTGAGCCATTGATATCACTCTGTTTCTCAATGACCATTATGTGAGAGAACATATGAGTCCCAAATTTGAACGTTAAGCTTGTTGGTTGCTGCTCTTTTCTGTTACATTTTTAGATTGATAATGGATGCCCTACAATGTTATTGGTGTATTTATGTCATTTCCAAATGATGAAGGGACTTATTTGATCCACCTTTGTGAAGTGTCATTAGCTCAAACTTTTGTGATTAAAGTTGTTGAGGAAATCACTTCCACATTAGGTGTTGATAAAAAATAAACATTAATCCCTTTGATGGAATTAGAGCTGCCTTTCTTGAACACTGAGTAGTGGAACACTTGAATGAAACTGAAAAATGAGTCCCAATTTTATAAGCAAAAGTTTGATTTTCATTCATTTAGTTCCATTACAAAAGCTGACTCCTACATACAACCATTGTGCTTACATGACTGCCCTGGACATTCCTCTCTTCCTAATAACCAAAATACACCTAACCACCCAAAAGATAAGCTTAAACTTACAACTACCCTACTACTACTTGTTCTTGCTTACACAAAATAATGTGGTTAGGTGTGGCAGTCTAAGTCCCAAAAGTTTGCTGCTCTTTGCTTGTTCTTCTAATCTGCATCTATCTGCATTTGTGTGTCTTCATCATCTGCTTGGTTGACTTGCCTAAACAAAGTGTTGAGATGTTCCACCGCTTGATGAATGATGTCCCTGCTGACCTCTATCTGTTCTGGCATAATTCCTTGGTTCTCTAACCTGTTTTTGCCCATATGTGGTGGTGGGTAGTTATTGCCTCCATTCTTAATCATTATCTCAGTCATACATTTTTGCAATGTGATCCATGTATTCCTATTGACTTTAGGATCAAAAACAGCATAAGCCTCATTTACCTTCTCAACCAAATGATCCAAATTTTCTGTAAAAGATTGATATTGGATGGATTGGATTGAGGTAAACAGCCCTAGATCAAGCACATTAAGATCAGGGAACTGGGCTGGCTGGAAAACCATCTGTATGTTGAAACCATATGATGTGCATCCTTCTTGAAACTCTGCATCTGTTGAGATTTGGTGTTGTCTTGCATTATCCCATTGTATAAACACATTTTTAGGTAAGCTTGGATGCCACTTGCTTTTGATTGCTGGTATAACTTGTTCCATCAACATTTTCCTTGTCACTTCCTTGGTGACACTCTCTATTGCCTTAGTCTCCATTGTCCCTGCAACTCTGTTCTTACTTAACTTTAATGCTCTCTTTTTGAATACAAAAGGGAAAATACCATATTTTCCATCATGTAGCAAGTTTTTGTTAGCATCATACAGAGGTTTACCAACCACTGCCATAAACATGGCTTTGATTTTGAACCTTATGGACTGTTGGCACATGTATGGGTTTTCCTCTTTTGACAGCAAGTAAAACCTCCTTGTTTTTGGGTTCAACCAGAACCACTTTTCATTAATATGAATTGTCTCTTGCATGTTAACAAATGTTGGGTCCCCAACTGCAGGAATTGGATTAACATGAGCTAAAGCCCACTTTAACCTTGCAACCTTATGATTAGAAGTAAGTGCTGGTCTATTGGTGCTTGTGTGAGTTCTAAGTCTTCCTCTTTTCTTCAAATTGTGTATGGTGACATGTGATATCTTTAGAGCTGTTGCATAGCTTCTCTATGTTGTTCTCTTGTACAGAGGCACTGATTGGAGAAATTCATCTGAATATTCCACTGGTTTTCGTCCACATATCCCCACTTCTTGTTTTTGACATCAATCACATTTCCCTCTGACATTTGCTTCTTTAGATCATCAAATACTCTTGTAATTGTTGACTTATGGACTTGAAATCTTAATTCCAGTTCAGTCTTGAGTCCCCTTCTTAGCTGACCATCTTGCATTTCTAGTAACACTGCATCAATGATTTCTCTTTTTTTTTCCAAATTAAGTCATTTTCTTGATGTTGGTACAGCCTGTTGAAATGCATCTGATTCTTGATTGTTCTGTGAGTGCTGTTGCTGGTTGTTATCTTCATCATTTTCAGAATCAAGGTCTGAAAACTCATAAGCATCTTCTGCATCTTCTTCATCCATCAGCATTTGATCAATTCCATAGAATTGATCATCATATCCATAATGATCATCCATTGTTCTTTTATTGTGTTTTTTTTTTTTTGAGGAACACTGACTGCTTCCTTTGAATTTCAGAGTGGAAGAAAGGAGAAAAGGTGGTAGCTGAAGTCGTTTTTTGGTGCTGGTGAAGCTGCCACGATTTTGAGAGCGGAATGAAGATGATTAAATTAGTGCACTAATTTAGATTAGGGGTAGTTTTTGGGTAAATATGGGCTGATGATGTGTAATTAGTGCTAACTTAATTTTTGGGGAAACATGTTTACAATATGGTCTGTATTAATGGTGAAGTATGAATATGGTGATGAACATTAAATGTGATGGCTGGTATTTATAAGCCACTTCAATTAGAATGAAAAAGGTGAAGAATCTGTTGGAGGGAAAAAAATTGGCTCAATTTTAAAATTTTGGCCAAAAAGTAAGGAGGGAAAACGTTCCCCTCCAAAATCAGATTTCCACCCAAAAGAAACATGTGGGCAGGTCCCACTTTTCTCTCTTCCTTGTTTTCTAACATTTCTTAAATAACATTAGGAAATTTTGCTTAAGAGTCCGTGAAGGCCTCCAAAGTTGCAGATAATGGTTAACGGATGAAGTATTAAGTAAAAATAATTTCAGTTCAGTAAAAATAAGTTCAGTTCAGTAAAATTAATTTTAGTTCAGTTCAGTAAAATCCAGTTTCTTAAAGAAAAATTATAATAGAAAATCAGTAAAAATAATTTCAGTTCAGTAAAAATAATTTCAATTCAGTAAAAATAAGTTCAGTTGAGTAAAAATAATTTCAGTTCAGCAAAATTAAGGTGAATCAAACAGGGCCTAAGAGCATTTCAGTTCAGCAAAATTAAGGTGAATCAAACAAGGCCTAAGAGCATCAATAATGGGGGGGGGGGGGGTTTCTTAAAATGTAGTTCTTATTCTCTCTCGTATTCCACATCATCAAGAATTCTTATTAAGACTTACCCTCAATGTAACCTAAGAAATGCACTAGTTCTTAATAGGGGTGAGCAAAAATTCCGGGTACCCGGAATTGGAATTGGAACCGGTTAGGAACCGGTGGGTCCGGAGCCGGAATTGGACTCGGTGTTTCCAATTGTGGGTAATAAATTAAGGAACCGGTTGCAACCGGTTCCAATTCCAATTCTTGATTTTTTGGACCCGGAACCAGTTGGGTACCCGGATAACTAACATATGCTACACTAAATAAGTTTTTTTAATATAAAATTATGTTAAATGTATCTAGTTAGTAAAATAAAAAATTATTTTTAATACCTAACATAAATAAAATATCTTAATGTACATATAAATAAAAGTGTTAAACGCTAAAAATGAAAACAAATCTAAATAACTATCATAATTTATATTATATTTTAATAATTATTTACATAAGTGGGTACTAGGAACCAGAACCTGTACCCGGTGGTTCCAATTCCAAGTCCTAAATTTTAGGACCCGGTTGAGCCAATTTCAATTCCGGTTCCGAATTTTAGGACCCGGTTTCAACCAATTCCGGGTCCGGGTCCTAAAATTTTTACTGGGTACCCGGTTTGCTCACCCCTAGTTCTTAACAATATATCTTAATCTCGCTCTTCTTTCTCTCTCTTACTTTTAATAATTGCTCTATTATTACTTTATTTCTCCAACACTTTTTTTTAAATAGAATTATTATTATTATTATTATTATTATTATTATTATTATTATTATTATTATTATTATCATCTCAAAAACAAAAATTAATACAACCTACAATAAATTAGTGGGAAGCCGAGATACAATCTGGGCCCCCACTCCTCTAGCTATAGCAAAGCCTACCCTAGTAAAAATATGAGCTGCAGTAGGAGCTCCAATGCCTTGCGTCGTCGAGAACCTCTGAATTCGTTTAAGTAACGCAACAGCCTCCTTCTCTAATTCACCAAACGAAGAAAAGGAGAAGGGAATGAATCCATATCCAATCGCCTGACAACGAGCGTCATACTTAACCCGCTTCCGATGAGCTGCATCAGCCACAACCCGTCCAGGAATAAAGTCAGATAGCCCTGACTGTGTCAAAGGAGAAGATCCTGTCAAATCTACACAAACATCGCGACCACGATCCCAAGAATAAAGTAACACATCAGCATGTCTGAGGGCCTCGTCGTTCCCATATTATTATTATTATTATTATTATTATTATTATTATTATTATTATTATTATTATTATTAATGCAAATATAAAAGTTGACATTAATGCTAAAAATAGAGATAACAATTTTTGCATACAACAACACCTTAACAATTGGAAAAATAAGATACGTACGCAATAAAACATAACAAAGAAATACATATAAAAATACATTTTACTCATCACCACCATGACCAAACCCGTCTCAAATATGTTTCGTCAAGTCGTCTCGCAGTTGATTATATGTTTCCCTATTTCGAACTCTCATTCTATTCTTTAGGTATGATTGCATATCGGCACGCCAGCGTATATTATAATTAGTTGGTGAGTCATCATCATCTTGTGCTTGATCAAACTGACTAAAATCTCCATATTCTTCGTTGTGAAGGTAACCTTGTCGTTCACCTTCAATAATCATGTTATGCAATATAATACAAGCTATCGTTATTTTTTGCACAACTTCTATTTTCCATATTAGTGTCGGGTTTCGAATAATAGCAAACCTTGTCTGGATAACTCCAAAAGCACGCTCAACATCTTTTCGCGGCGACTCTTGGCGTTGTGAAAATAATTTTGCCTTTGGACCTTGAGGAAGTCGATATGCTTGTACAAAAGTTGCCCATTCTGGATATATACCATCTGCTAGGTAATATCCCATATTGTATTGGTGACCATTTACTTCAAAATTCACTGGTGGTGCTCGTCCTTCAAATATATAGTTAAAAACTGGGGAGCGATTTAGTACATTAATGTCGTTTGATGAACCTGGAACTCTAAAAAAAGCATGTCATATCCATAAATCTGCTGATGCAACTCCTTCTAATATGATTGTAGCTTTACCATCTCGACCTTGAAATTGTCCTTGCCAAGCAGTAGGACAATTTTTCCACTCCCAATGCATACAATCTATACTTCCCAACATGCTTGGGAATCCACGCACCTCTCCAATGTGCAGTAGCCTTTGTAAGTCATCTTGATTTGGTTTTCTCAAATACGCGTCTTGAAACTCGGCAATTATAACATCAACAAATCTACGTAAGGCATTGAGTGAGCTTTTCTCACTAATTCTAACGTACTCATCAATTTGGTCAGTTGCTACTCCATATGCCAACAATCTCATAGCTGCAGTGCATTTTTGTAATGGTGAAAAACCGGGCTTACCAACTACATCATATTTTTGTTGGAACCATGGATCACGTTGTTGGACTCTGTCAACTATATGAAGAAATAACGACCTTCTCATTCTAAACCTTCGTCGAAATTGATCATTAGTATATACAGGATTCTCAGCAAAATAATCTAAGAACAAGCGATTGTGACCAGCAACAAGATCTCTTGGTCGATTGGGAGAACGATTCTTCCTTTGCCTTCGAGAAGTTGAACCCCTTCTAGTGAGCTCAGTAACTGCTTCAGCTACAATTTCATTGCGAAGTGGCATTGCCATGACCCAATTACGAACCATTTGTCGAACTTGTGAACGGGGGTTTGGATTTTTAGAATCCGAGCTCCTTGAGCTTGAACTTGAACTAGAAGGCATAATTATTTTGAGAATAGATTGTATTGTATGTTGTGACAACATTGATGTACAAGAAGATGGTGCTATATAAATTTGAAAATTAATGGTTGTAAATATTTGATCTGCCATGAAAGATACTTGACACACCATGCAATGTCACACCATAGCCATATCAGATCTGTATAATACTATTCATGTCAGCGGAAGAGTTCACATACTGCATCAATAAATCACCTGCAAAAGGTGATATGACAAAGACAATACAATGTCGCAACATGATAATAATAGCTAATACATTATTTTTTGCAATACAACGTCAACTTACAAGATTAAGAGTTAAACTAATACATCCACTAGTGGTAACTAATTTAACATAACAATCACTAGTGATCTACAATAACATTGAATTAACGATGATATTTAATGCCATCATATGGTTATTAATTCGTTCCATAACTTATTTTTACGAGCTTCATCTTCCTCTGATAAATTATCTCGACTTAGTAACGCTTGTAGTAACTGATATTTTAGTTCTCTTTCTTTCAGAATTTGGGCTTGTTTTTTTCTTTCTTCTCTTATTCGTTCAACTTCAACAAATTCCTTCATCGCCTTTGCAGTTTCTTCATTTGAATGTTGCATACTTGCAAGTTTTTCTTGCAAAGAATCAATACCATCTGTTGCCTTCATTTTCAGTTTCCTTTTAGCTTGCTTTTGACCCCCTGGTCGTGTTAAGGGGTTAGCACTTTCTGGTGTTCTTTCTGCAGATGACGAAGAAAAACTTCCACTTTCGTCTAGTCTTGATCTTTTCTCACTCCCCTCACTACCCCGGATTGGTTGATAGCACTTGTAGTTTGATAATTTGGAGGATCAAATAAGGGTGTTGAAGAATCAATGGTGTAGACAAATGCATTCATAAATTTAGGTTGGTTTTTCAACCTTTCATATGCAAAGTCGAACTTAAAATCTTCCTTCATATCAGAAAAATATATTGCATTAGCTTCATTAGTAACATCTAAAGTACGCTCACCGCTTTTTCGTTGTTTGCATCGATCAACACATGCTACATACTTTGCGACCGCGAGTCGTATTTTTTGCCAACAACTCTTGAGTTGTTGAAGTTCTCTTGGACTTCCCCCGTTGCGATGCTTGTTGTAGTAGTTTACTATCTTAGTCCAAAATGATTCACTTGTTTGATTTGTACCATGTATCTTATCAAGCGCATAATTGAGCCACTTCCACTAATTAGAAGGTTATCTTGGGCTTTATTCCAAGATATCCTCCTCCCTTTATTATTTGAAGGTGTTGGTGTTGATTGATCATTATCAACTTCATTTTCTTCTTGAGATTCCATGACATTAATGTTAATGTTACTAAGTGAAATACCGGACCCCCGAACCTTCACCACCTTGATCAGCGCCATCTTCACCTTGAGAATCCCCGACATTTGGTAAATTTGGACTGTTTAACATATTTGTAAAATAATTTGAAGAATTTTGTGTGGAGTATGGAGCAAAAGATGAAGGTGACATAGTATTACCCATGTTTTGGTGATGGTTAAAAGATGGATGCAAATTTGGATTTACTTGAAATTTGGGTTTGTTGGGTAATTTAGATGGGTGGGAAAATTTGGATTATTAGGATAAGTGTGATAGTTAGGGTAATTTTGATTATTAGAGTAATTATGAGTGTTTGGATAATACTGAAAATTTTGATTGTCTATTGGAAAATTTGAATTTGTTGGATATTTTAGATTTATTGGATACTTTGGATTTATTGGATAATTTGGATTTGTTGAGTAATTTGGATTATTTTTATCCATAATGAAAAATATGTGTTTGAAAGAGTTTATCACAAGAAAAAAAAATAACAGATTGAGTATGATGATTTTGGTGAAATCTCATGAAGGTTCCTACTTTTATATATGAGCAAAAATAAGTAACCGTCGAACATATTACACTTTGTGATTTTTTGTTTATTTTACAATATAAATTTTGGTTAAAAGTTAAAAAAAAAATTAATGCATGAAAATATCATGCAAATACAACCGGGTAATTTGGTGGAGAAAAATGCATGCATGCATGTGTAAATGCAGAGATTCTCCTCAGCCAAAGTCATCAGTAACTTTATTAAAAGAAAAGTCATGCCATGCAAAACGCAACTCTCATAGCTATATCAAATGTCGTTTTGATCCCCCTCACCATTGGTTCTTATTTGTAATAGTTGTTCCTTATTTCAGAAGCTCCAAGCCCAATTACTAAATAAGAAACTCTCATTTCTCACCTAAGAACTAGTTCTTAAATTTTTTCTCTCCTTAAGAACTACCTAAGCCACTCCCACTATTGATGCTCTAACCATCCGTCAAAAGAAAAAGTAAAGTTACCTCTGTTTTGATTTACTAAACTGAATTAATTGGAGCTGAATTGAATTGAACTCAAGTCCATAGAATACTATGTGCAAGGTGTCTCTTGCAATAGCCCTCCAATTTTAAAGGGGACATTTTTTTCCTATTCCTAATTAAAATAAAAAAAATAAAAAAAGTAAATTCTCCTTTTTGGTAACGCCAAGCAAGCAGCAGTATTCACGATCAGTCTATCGCGCTGATTTTTCCTCATTTTCCATCTTTATTCCAGAATTTCAAGCTTCCATCTTAATTTCTCTGATTTTCCAAATTCTTCCATAATTACATCAATCAATTCCATGGAAAATTGTATTGCATATTTTTCCATTCGAGGATTTTCAACGGATAAAGAAAATAAAATCAGTCAAATTCAAACTATTTTTGTTCCAATTCCATAACAATGGCAATGAGAAATCAATTTTAATTTTCCATAATTATTGTTATCAAACGACCAGATTATATATATATATATATATATATATTATATATATATATATATATATATATATATGGGTTTCTTCCATCATTCTTCAATCATTCTTCAATCATCTTCATCTAATTCTCAATTGATAAAAAATCAAACAAAAACAAATTGAAGCATTTTTTTTAAAGGAATGAATTGAAGGCTTGAAGCGATTAGTTTTTTTTTTTTTTAATTTTTTTTTTTAATTTTTCTAGTTTTGATAATGTCAATTGAAGCAATTTCAGTTGGTCTTTCGTAGTTCGTTGTATAATCAATTTAAAGTTGTGATGTAGGGGTTTATAGGTACTACGCAACGAAAATAACATGAATCATATTCATATAGTACCCAATCCCAAGATCTAATGCATAACACATAAAGAACATATAATCGTACCTTTGAAGCGTGATTCCACGTGTGATCGAGCAAGAACAATGGGAGATAAAGAACCCCAAGCGTGATTCCTCTACTTGGTACACGGGCACAAATTAAGACCTCCACTAATGCTAGTTTGTTGCAATTGAACCCTTCAATTGACCTTCTATGGAGAAGAGCGAGAAACGAACCACCATGAACCACCACGAACCACCACACGCGCCACCAAGGATGGTCGTCCGTACGGACGAGGGGAGGAGATAGATAGCCGTGAGATAGAGAGAGGAATTAGGGTTTTGGGATTGGTTGTCTTGATGTCAAAATACACTGTGTGTGTATTATGACTGCTTCCTTGCAACCCTAGGCATGGATCTTATTTATAGATATCATTTCTAAATAAGAGCCCATGTCAAAAGCCCAAAACTTATTTCCAATCTAACTATGCTAGCCTAATCCATGTCATGATTAGTTACATGCTCATGAGGCCCATTAATGGGCCTCTAACTTGCTTAACCCAATACCCTTGTGTGTGACCTCATAGGATCCATTCTAGCGGGCTTTGGACCATTTGACTAGCCCAAAGATCATCTCTCATAGTCTAGAAACAGATGATGACGCCCCAAGAGAACGAACTTATTATCTCCATAATAGTGATCCTTGATATATCTAGTAATTGCACTTATCGAAGACACAACTCCTTCAGTGCTAGCCTATTAGTTTGTCTTGAAGAACATTGTAATTCACTAATAAAACGTTAAGTGATATAAGCTTTGCATTGTATTTAGTTCGTTGTTATCATCAACATAAATAAAATATCCGAATTCATTTTGCGTGATTAAGGGTCTGTTCACATTTATTGAATTGAGCAAAACTTAATTGAACTGAATTGATTGGAGCATAACTGTAGGGAATAAATTTCAAGCATTAAACCCCTAGCTTGAACCCCATTGTGATCATACACTAAAGTACGGTGGCATCTAAAAGGGAAGAAGATAGAGCAAAAGAGTCGCCAACAAGTTTTAGGAACTTGTAAACCGTTCACAGGGTGAAGGTTACACCCCTTAACGATCCAAGAGATCGTCAACCCCATAAGGTCTAGAACCAAATAAGGGCTCGGGGATGAAGGTACAAATCCAACCTAAAAGAGATTGAACCTGCCCTAATAATAGGCCTCTACTTTATTCTGATCATATTCATGTGCGCTTTCTAACTAACATGCAATCAATAGGATTAACCCTAAACTTGTTTATCTATGTTGGTTGAATATAATGCACAAATAAACTATTATTGGAGATCACTTGAAATTATAATCATATTAACCCTAACAAGATTATTAATTATCTTATTAAGCGTGATTACAAGTACCAATTCCCTTTAAACATGCATAAAAGGTGTGATCAAGCAATAACAATAAATATAATATGTATCAAGCAACATAATAAATAATCAATATCATGAATAATAATTATAGCAATAATAAAATTATAATCATAATAATAACAATATCATCATAAATAAAATAATATTCATAATCATCATAAATTATAACAATTATAATCATAATCATGTTCATATTAATATTAAAGCATAATAACAATAGCAAGATCCTAGGCATGATACTAACAAGATTAATAACAAACACTAGCATGTCACTAAGCAATAAAAATCAAATCTTTAACCCTAACATGATACTAACAATCATAAATATTAGGAAGAACTTAGGAAGCATCGTAACAATCATATTTAATATATTTGATATTATAACCTTTTCCCTAAACATGATACTA